TGGCATTACGGTTACAAGGCGAGCTCGTAGACCATTAGGCCACTGGGACCCGATCCAATAGACGAAATAGCCGTCCAGTAATCACGGGTTTTCCAATGATTCTCTAACTGATTTCAGCTTATGATGAATTCTTGAAACCAATCAAAACTCTACAATCAAACACTTGACACTTTATTCTTGTCTTCACAGTGTACTGCTGACAATGTTTGCATTTTTCTATGCGTGTGTGTGTGTGTGCATTAACCACTTGTCTGTAGCTGATCAAGCGTACTAACTCCACCTCTATCCGGATTCGTGTTGTATAGCCCCACCCATCCAATGTTCATTTTTCTATGCATCCTGTTTCAACACATCTCAATTATAACTGTTGAACATACAGATGATCTAAAACGTCTTTTCTACAGATTCAATTTTATATCATATTAATTCCGGCCTAGACAGACCTGTTTCTGCCATTTCGAAGCACAACAACATTAGAGCATATACGTAAATTGTTAGGCATTTATACATAAAGGGAACCAGATTCCACTAGCTGTCTTTTCGTACAGAGCCAGGGTTCATTGAATGAATCAACTACACTACTGCCTTTAATGTTCACCTTGTGCACAATCTCTCACATATACTACATAAAGTGGTATTCTTCTTCATCTAATTATTACTATTATTATTATTATTATTAACATTATTGTTAATTAATAATTCTGAGATTGATGTCCAAATTACTCGACAACTGATGTAAAGTTGAAATAAGACATCAATCAACATACACACACATTGACAAAGGATATAAGATCTGTTGTGGCCTGAGGGCACTGACATGACATGATTTGTTTAATATACATACGTATTCTGTTGTCAGTGTAGTAGAGAAGTGTGGGAATAACACTCCAACTCTATCATCAAATAGAATGTTCAAATAGATATATCGTATAGTGTTGCTACAGCCACATTGAACTGTGGGAACATGTGAGAATAACATTCCGAATTTCAGATTTCTACTACACTATGTGGTAACACTTCATTCTAAAGTGCATACATCTAAGTCGTACAAATACACTAGAATAAATAACTGTCTAGATAGTCTAGTTTATTCATAACCTGATGTATTTTGAATGACTGAGCTACATGTACTACACTGTGAGACGTTTCTATGCCAGACCTTGGAAACATTTTCCCCTTTTTTCTCAAAGTCCGCACATTGTCCCCTTTTTCTAGTCATAATTTCCCTCTAATCAGCAGAATTTCCCCCTATTACTCGCATCATTTTCCCCTTATTCTCTTTACGTCAAACAACTCCCAATTCATATCAACCTTCGTTATGGAAAACAAGTATATTTCAGTTGTTTATTGGGTAAAGTAAAAATAATAAACAACAATTAGGCAAATTTATTCTTCAGGATTAATGTACAGTTAGAATTACAAATAATACACACAAGTAGAATGATTGTCTTTTATTATTAAGTCTGAATTCAGCATCACACCTGCTCACCATCATCAAGTAGATCCATTGAAGTATCCTGAAAAGGAAACAAATTATTAGTAAGCAAGATAGTAATCAACGGTGAAACTTATACAGACATTTTACATAATAGTAATGATATATTAAACGTGGTTATTCAGCTTTAAGAAGTTACTTAATTATTGAGTACAAATCAAATTATTTGTCTACTTAATATAAATACTCACACTTAAAGACCTTAAGTGTGAGTATTTTTAAACGTTGAATTTTCCCATAAACACACAATAACAATTGAGTCATAGTAGACAAACCATTTACTGTTGAACCATCTGTCTACCTAAACACGTAGTTCATATAATTAACAGCGCTAGTTATCATAACGTTGACAATTACACGCTACTGGCAGTTGTATTGTAGATTTTTACAGCATTCATCTAACTAAATTGTCACTTACAGCAGAGATCTTCTGGTCACTCTTCTTATTGTCTACAGACATCTGTGAAAAATAAAAACAGAATTTTGTTGATTGACATGCATACAATGAAACGGTTTGTAGTACAGTAACCTTGATGCTACACTCCAAATGTGCTGAAAATCAATTTTAATACTTCACAGCCTCAGTTATTACATTCATGACTGCACTTAAGGTTGATTGTTGACCAACTGACATTGATCAGGTGGTCACTGAAACCTCAGAAATTCTGTTCCTAGTACAGCGGTACACCTAATTGTACCAAATTAAGAGAATAGAGAAGCATGTACGATAACATAGTGAACTAAAAACTAGAGCGTTGTGGATTCAATCCATCGTAAGGTGATTTGTCAGTACTGCTAATGGGTGCCAAAAAGAAGACCAGTTGCCTTGTTTTTTTGAACAACTACCTAACTGATGTACCACGGTCAGGGTGAAGTCGTCTTCAACTCCGTAATTTCTCCGCAAATTTATTTCTCACTAAATCGATACTAACACCTTTCAGAAATGGCCGGTAGTATTGTCCTCTAACACAATTTGAAAGGACGCGAACTCATTTCATACAAGATTTCAGTTCAACTGGAAAACGAATCTCCTCACTGGATCAAGAGTTTCCATTCAGGTCAGCCTCAGGACACTCAAAGAAACCACCTGTTTCATGTGCAAATACATGGATGACAGTCACCTCAGCACCAACATACCAACTATCTGAAGCACTTTTAACTAACATCAATATTCAGTGTTTTTTCAATAATGACACGTACAGACAAGTGATAAAGTTGACATGGTCTCCACTAACAGCACGATTTCAGCAGAATGCTTCAAATCTAGTTTCGACAACAGAATCTTGAAGCCACCTGTAGAAAGAATACTGATATGTGGAAGGTATACCGACGACACTTTTACAGCTTTTCATAGTGATTCTGATAAACATTTCCTCTAACAGGTATTGAGTAGCTCTCATTCTTCAAATGAATCAAAGACTCCATTGCTGGATGTACAATTAACGATCAGACACTATAGGATTATGGAAACGCTATTCTACAGAATGTATTCACGGAACAGCCAGACAACAAAATTTCACCTGCTTATCTCATCAGATTAGTGTGAAGCATTCAGCGATTAAAAGAAGAGGTCGGTATGATCATGGTGGTAAATGGGTATATGACAGGTTTTGCGAAAGTCATCAAACGAGGATCACAGTGAGGATAAGGCAGTTCATTGACAAAGAAAATACTTTGCATGAGCCTTAATTTACCGATGGACGTCACCTACCATATCCTGAAGAGGAGAAGAATCCGAAGTTCACCAAAGAACAATTTCACTACACCAACCATGAAAGTGATATCCTCTAGCCAGCCACCCACTAATCACAAAAAATCCGACGGACCATCTCCTGCATATGACCACTCCAATGTGCGAATATCATTTCACCTACTTCTCTTGAGTTATCTTCATAATTTATACCCTCATAACTGCTTTTCTCAATGTATGAACCCACCTCAATCATTTCACATATTCACCATTTATTAATGAGCTAGCTATCGCCACAGTCCGACTACCTCAAGTTTACTGCATTCTTTTTTCTACTGCCACTCACTTTAAACGTTCCACAACCTTCAACTGAATTGTCAGTCACCCTTGCGTCGGTGAAACAGTGCTAGAATGCTCGCCAACTACACAGATGGTTCTGGGATCTATCACCAGCCGCCGACACACTTCATCGCCTCGCTAAGCAACGAATAAGACTGATAAGGAGGTAAGGCTGGGCATGAGGCTAACAACCCTATCCAAATCGAATTCACTGCAACACATTCGTCAAGCAACTACTATGTATTTTGTCACTCTAAAACTAATCGGTAATTCTACGCGTAATTGAAATCATCACATTACTGGGTATTATTATTATAGGAATAAATAGCTCACTCTGTGATTTGTTAGGGCTTAGAGATAATTCCGTCCATTTTATTTCAGTATGGTCCACAATGTCTGATGTAAGAACAGGTACTCAACCATGACATTGCATCCCCGTCATGCAGTATTTCACAAGGCCGTCGAATCCCCACCAACTGTCTGAATGGTAACGCGTCCACCTTGTGAATTCAGTGTCCTGGGTTGTGTCATCAATGTACTCACGGCTGCATATTCCTAAAGAAACCATTCTCCAATACTCTAAAATTTCCTGCCATCCTCTAACTGACTTTTGTCAGAGATGTAAAAATCATCCTTGAATCCAGCGTAAGTCTACCAATCGAATGTCACCTCCACCCGATGATCAACTATAACTAACAGCTAGACTATTGTGACACTTGAAAATTACTCCTTTGTGCATTTCAAACACCAGATGCTCATCTCACCTGTTTTTTATTGTTTATTTACGTAAACGTTTCTCATGACTTATTTTTCACTTCACACGTGTTTCCGTCGTCCTCTGATAGACAGTCGTTCCGTATCGATTGATTATCGACGAACTCTACAATTCTGAGTCTCAAATACAGATAACGTTTGAATAAAACTCACCTATGTTTCAAGTGTGATCCGAGCTCAGACACTGTGTCGTCAATATTATTAACTGTGAGCATCAACAGACCCTGTAACAGTGAAACATCTCATGACATTTATACGGATTTCTTAAATTCATACTGCTCATCATATGAGGACTCCGAACGTCCGACCATTTGATTTGCAGGGCTGAAACTCATACAAGGAGAATATTTTTCTCCACAACGAACAATATACACTCTGTAACTATATCCGCCTAATGTATTCAAATGTCAATCAACACAATCACTCATCCTACTGTTCAAATCATCTCTACTCACAAACATCATAATCTAACTCTGAAACACAAATACCAGGCTTTCCAGACCATGAAGTTAGAACACTAAATGCATCATAAACTCACTCACCCAGTCTCCCATCCAATCACCAAACACTAATCCAAAGACAATAAAAAGACAGACCAAACAGGATCAAGTGAATATTCATTCGAAATATTAAAATTGTAGTTTGACAGAATTTTAAAACATTCATTCTACATGTTGAGATTACAACGCGATAAATTATCTCTCATTTTGAGGAGAAACTTTTGCGAATCAACTCCTGCGTTTGACCATTAACGTCATAATAATTCCAACAATCTTTCAGCGTGTCAGCATTCAGCAGAAATTTGTTGGAAACACTGCACCTCTTGCTTACCGCATCTAGTACAGAAAGTTCAGTTGGCTTGGAAATCGCATCCAAAATCACCAACAAAATATTCTCCCATTGATCACTGTAATCCATGTAGTGCTTCTCACGTGTTTCTCCCTTCATACGCAATTGAGGATAAAGCAGTAGTTCGCTTCTCGGTTCAAAGATCCTTAGATAAGTGATCAGTCGACCAAACAGCTTGTTCCCTGTGTCACTGATTGTTGTTCTCGGTGAACCAGTCAAATACTCACCATCTAGATGATAATGAAATGGATCATCAACTATTCGACGGTAAAGCTGTCGTAAGTCATTCAGCTCAGAAAAATTATCAAAGTATGGGATGCACACAGATCGAACCATTCTCATGGCTATAGCGTTAGCGATTCGTGTGTATGTGAAGCCAGCCGGAACATCATAGAAATACTTACTGATATCTATTTCATGAACAGACTGCTTGTAACCAATCCTCTTCACAGGTCTAATTGAGTGGTTAAGTTGTCGGTCTTTCGTAGCCATACCGAAAACCACCAATTTCGATACCCAATGACCAGTGATCAGCATTGCCTTCGTCTTATCCGACTCATCTGTCAGACCATATTTCTCCATCATACCACTTCCAAGTACTCTAAATGCATAACTGTCCTTCCTGAAGCCACTCGGTGTGTACCGATTCTCCTCAAAGTAATTCACCACAGAGGCTATCATCACCGAGACACATGCATTCGCCATCTCAGCTTTCAACACACCTCTCATCTCCGAGCTACTCGCCACATTCTCCACCGTCCAACTACCATAATACCAATAACCATCACAACGATCATCTACAACTGTATCGGGTAGTGATATATTCTCATTTGTTCGATTTCTGTCTGAATCCTCTTGTGTTGAAACAGTCAGCTCTCCAAGAAGTCCAGGGAGAATCACTGCACTCGCTGCATTGCTTAATCATACGCGTAATGGTTGGGATACAATCTCACCAACAGACTTGTACACATAAGCAGCCGCTGTCGCAGCACACGTTATCCATGATTTCTTAGCATGATTTGGGTCCTCTGTATCACACTCAGGCATTAACATCTTATCAATCATTAGCACGAATTCATGATTAATGCCAGGAGAAGGGAAATCCGGCATCATACAGTCCAAATCTCCATCAAGTCTCAAGTCATCTATCAAAATACTCGCCAATTCATCAGTCAACTTCTCCATTGAATTTATTAGGTTCACTCGACTGTTATCATTAATATCCCGTAAAGTAGAAAACGGCTAAATTGATTTGGTGAATGTCAATTCGTTACTGTGTGATGAAGGCTAATATAAGCGTTAACTCTCATGCTCTAGTCGACCAATCAGACGTCAGACCTTACCAGTCACCTGTGACTATCAAACATCCTCTCATGTGATTCGTTGGCTACATATATCTCGTAATTGAAGTAGATCATTGGATGGATAAATTGTCCGTCACGTCCAAGGTCATTGTTGGAGTGAGACGTTCAAGGGTGATTTTTTCCATGTAAGGCGGCCATGTTGGATTGCAGTTCCATAGCCGTTCGTTTACAAATTAGTTTTTACGTTTATCCTGCAGTTATTCACATTTTATGTTGATTCGCATTCTTCAAAAATGTTGCGTTTCACCTCATTTTTGCTTCCGTTGCTGTTAACATGAGTTATTTCGTTAGTTCGGGAAGTTTTTTAACCAACAGGTCAGTGCATTCATTTCATTGTAATTGTTCCATACGCTTCTTTCATGTGGCTTTCAGTGTTTTAGTTGTTTGTCAGTTATTTATGAATTAGTAATGTGTAGAAGTTTTGGAAATTATGCACATTAGCGCGTTTGGCTGGCAGGAGCTGTTGTTACCAGTTCATTTGTTGGTTTCAGGTTTTGTTGCTGGCTCATTTGGTGGTTATTTGACATGTAGAAATCTGGAAAACTAATGTCTTTCACGTTCATGTTTACACCATGTAACAATCTACGAGTGGATTTGGGGTGGAGAGCACGATCAGAGTTGATATTATCAAGGTTTTCAAAGAACATAATCCTGGAGAATTTAGAACTTGGGTTGCAGTTGAAAAAAGCTTTGAAGCTTTTCGAGAAGGTAAATATGCCATCAGTGTGTCTGTTATCAGTTGAAAAATCAGATCTAAATGAAGAAAGTTTGAGCCACATGAGAAGTATGAACCTGTTGTGCTTGTATGTGTTTTTGGGAACGAAAATAAACAGGAACCCCTAAAGGGTAAGTGTTACGCATGCTTCTAATTGCTTAATGTACTAGATCGAAATGCATGAACTAGGACTGCCTGAAGTAAAGCCAGTGTTAGTAACCATTCGATATGTTGCAAACTGATTTAAAAAGCAGATAAAATACGATGATCTGGTGAGTGTAAGAACTATCCCAGTTAAAGGTAAGACTTTAATTAGCAAGAATAACGTTTTGGGTTGTGGTCTACGATCGGCGGTTTTTTCTCCGTGACTATAAACACGGATGTCCATGATTTTTAAGAAAACTCTAAATAAATTTTCCTTGAACCATTGGTCTTCTTTTTCTTGGCAATACATCTGTTGATACGATTAGAAGATTAGGTAGCAAAGTAGGATGTTCTGCGATTGAAAATCGTGGTCGTTGTGTTTCGGTACAGTGGTTAGGACTCTCGCCAATCGTGCACATGGTCCGAGGTTCGATCCCCTGCCGATGCACACCTGATATCTATGGTTGGCCTGCAAAATTTGGGCTACCGATATCCATGCTGAAAATTCCATACTTGTACCAAAAATACAGTATGGAATCAAGCTATAATCAAAAATAAAAAAAAATAAAATAAATTATATCGCGCGTCTAACTGTTATAGCCCTATGGTTATAGCTTTTTCCTCATGGTGTATTATGATATTTAGAAATCATAATCACACTGTCTTCGGTAAATTTATTTTTGGTTACAGAATTTCATCATGAGTTGACATTGGTTAGAGAACCACCGTGCCTAAATGTCATCGCCGTAACGTCTTCAATACGTTGTATGGCCTGTCTCATCCAGTTATTCGAACTTTTTGTCAAGCTGCTACTCCCGACCCAAAGCTGCTACCTTGACGTCGTGGTCGAGCTTGAACACTGCAATGACCCAACAAGCTATACCGGCTGAGACTTATGTCGCTTGAGGTCCTACCATGCCAGTAAGGTTGTTTGGATAGCGGTTAGACAAAAAGCAGCTACCCAACCCAATGCTATGATTCAAAGAAAAACACAAAATATCATTCCGGATCAGTCGGCACCCGCATTAACAACGACCGCGCTTCCTGCTGCCGTGTCACAGGGCAGAAGTGATAAATATGCTACTGAGACACACCAAACAATAAAGAACAAACAAAAGCAGGCCACGTGTGACCGGCCTCAAGCAGTTGTCCTGTGGGCTCTGCGGTTACGCAACCAACTTCCACGGTGTGGGCAGCCGAGAAGTGACAATCGCCCTCACAATTCGAAGTGCACACGAAACCTCTCTAATCCTCACTCATCGCTGTCTTCATCTCTTCATGTCTGTCATCTTACCTGCCTTCCATTGATGCAACTCCTCTACTTGGTGGCTCCTCACTCCCTCTTCACTCTGTGTCCACTAAAAATGACGGAAGCCAAAAAGCCACCATCGATAGTCTTTTAAAGCCACGCCACCAATTTCATATAGGAGCATTTAATGTTAGGACACTTTGCCAAATAGGACAACAAGCATCACTAGCCAAGACTCTGGCATCCCGAGCCATTGATGTATGTTGTGTTTCAGAAACACGCATACAAGACCCAAGTGTGGTTATTCACCTAACCCCACCTGGCCAACAGGATGAATCTGCAAAATTCACCTTGAGGGTGTCAAGAGATACCACAGCTAGTTCACGAGGATCATCTGGCGTAGGGATAGCTTTGAGTACTAGGGCAGAAAAGACACTGCTTGACTGGATCCTGGTAGATAGCTGAATGTATGGTGTCCGTCTGAACGGGTCAGTGAGAAAGGACTGCACTACTCGCCGATGCTTTTTCGTAATCTCCGCCTACGCCCCCACTGACTGCAGTTCGGATGAAACGAAGGATGAGTTCTACCAAAAGCTGTCTAGTTTTCTGCGAAAGGCTAAACGCTCAGATATAGTCGTTCTAGCTGGTGACTTTAATGCTCAAGTAGGGAAATTGTGTCAATCTGAGAAGATTATCGGTGGCACCTATGGAGTCCCGTGCCAGCGAACCGACAACGGTGACCGTCTCCTACAGTTCTGTTCAGATAATCATTTGTTTCTTGTAAGCACCCCCATCATCATACCAACGCTGGACTCAAATAGACCACATAGGAATAAGATATCGTTGGCGTGGGTCGGTAGGAGATTGTCGCTCCTTCTTGAACACGTGTATAGATACCGATCACGCCCTGGTCCGCACTTACGACTGAACGGACGTAGGAAACAGCTGGCGGTAAAACCATCACGTCCCCAGCTCGATCAGGAAACTAAATCCCTATTTGAGGAAGAACTAGCTAAACACATTTCTGAGTCGACAGCTGTGTTCACCCTGAAGAAGCCTGGAAGAATATTCAGTCAGCCATAGATACAGCTGTAAAAGCTGTGAATAAGGTAAATCCAAAGGTGAGTAAAAACCATTGGATTTCGACTGCCTCATCCGAACTGATAGATGCTAGAAGACTTATTCCGGCGAGCTCCGAATTCAATGAGGAGCGAAAGCTGCCCAAAAACAGGAAACTTACGAAAAGTCTCCGCAAGGACCGTGAACAGTGGTGGGTGACAAAGGCGAAAGAGATGGAAAAAGCATCGGCGATAGGCAACACTAGGCAACTCTTTAGACTCATCAGGGAAACGGGTGGGAGAAGGCAAATCATAAGTGAAACTATTTCTGAGAAAAATGGCTCCTTAATTAGCTCTCAGGATAGACGCCTTGAACGCTGGAAAGAACACTTTGAGGAACAATTTAACTTGCCTACAGCCACACTGAACCTCCCCGACATCCAGAACACACCCGAATGGGATATAGACACTGGTCCGCCGTCTGTAAGTGAGGTCACAAAAGCTATCAGTAATTTGAAACGAGGCAAAGCGGCAGGACCCGACGGAATTATTCCGGAGGTGTTTAAATATGGGGGTGACATACTAGTTTGTAGATTAACTGAGGTACTAGGCAAAGTCTGGGAATCAGAGACAGTTCCATCAGACTGGGGTAAGTCACTTATTATACCGATATTCAAGAAGGGAAACAAGTCCTCGTGTGATAATCATAGGGGGATCAGCCTAACGAACATAGTCTCTAAAATCCTAGGCTCAGTAATCATGCACAGACTAAGCAGAACTCGGAAGGAACAGACAAGGGAAAATCAAGCAGGCTTTAGACCAGGTAGAGGGTGCATAGATCATATCTTCACTCTTCGACAGATTCTAGAACATAGACACACTTTTCGGCGTCCAACAATTGTCATATTTCTTGACTTGAAGGCGGCCTTCGACTCCGTTGGTCGAAAGGTACTATGGCAATGTCTGACTGTGAAGGGAGTGCCAAGAAAGTACATTGCACTAATCAAGGCACTCTATTCAAACTCACGTAGTCGTGTAAGGGCTTATGGGGA